AGCTGTTGATTTAGGTTTTTAACAAAAATGGGTAAGTTATACAATACAGCCAAAATATTTCCTCACAATGTGTGTTTATTACTAGGGAGCAAGGATAACACCTGTAGAGTATGGCGCTGACTGAAGACAAAGAATGATCCAGTTTGGTACGTGCCTTGACCAACATCATGAATTTCATAGTCAATAAACATTAGTTTTTCAGATCTGTTTTCTTCTACCCTCTTTGTTGGGTTTCAGCTTTGCTGAAGTAGATGAGTTACCTAGATGTTGACAGGTTTGAGTTCACTGATGTCTGCTAGATGTAGAATTGTAGAATCACAGAATAGTTGAGGTTGGAAGGGGCCTGTGGAGATTGTCATCTCCAACACCCGCTACTCAAAGCTGGGTGAACTAGAGCAGGTTGACGGGGGTTGTGTCCTGTTAGATTTTGAGTATCTCCAAGGATGGAGACTCCACAGCCTCTCTGGGCAACCAGACTGTTCCAGTGTTCAATTACCCTTACAGTAAAAGAAATTTTTTCTTATATTTAAACTGAATTTCCTGTGTTTCAATTTGTACCCATTGCCTCTTTTCCTGTCAGTGGATATCACTGAAAAGAGTCTGGCTCCATCATCTCAGTTACCTGATTATGGATGAATCCAGTAGGCTGGCCCCATTTGTTTGTGTGTAATGCTTTTAATTAAAAAATAACATTATGTTACTCTCAAGTGTGAAAGGTTTGTTCTTATGCATCTCGTCTGAGTAGTTGTGTATTTTTTTTTTGTTGTGTAATAAAGGATTGTGTTAAAATGACAGTTATGCTACTTGTAGTGCAGTGGTCCCACTTGATGTTTTCAGGGAAAAACGTTAGCAATCATTTGTGAACTACACTGTTATTAACTACCACACGCAGTAGCTGAACTCCCATTCCCTCCCCTTTCACACTTGCCCACATCTTTCCATTAATTTCATTCCTTTCCATTCATCCTTCATTCTTCCACTTTCACCTGAGATTTTAAAAAAAAAAGTTGAGTAGTGACACCAACTTTGAATCCTGGCCCAAAGATTGTACCCCGCATGAAGAAACAGCACAAACCAACAGTTTGGAGCAAAGGATCACAACATGAACAAAGCAGTGGCAGGGGAACTCATGCAAGTTGTTTACCACCATGCAATGAAATCCCACTCAGGCTTATCTCTCTCCAGCAATTGCCAATAGGTTTCACCTGGGCAGAGCTCTCCCCGCCTGCCAGCTGAGCACCTGGAACTGCAGCTGCTCTTTGCAGGGGGTAGCAAAGGAGCAGAGCCTGACTGGTCAGTAGTCCTGGCACCGGTGCAGGGGCAGATGAAGAGGCAAGGAGCTCTGGACTGAGTGAACTATGCAACTGGTGAGATGGTGACTGAGAGAGAGAAGGAAGCGGGTGGCAGAAAATACAGTTGAAGGTATTGTATTGCATATCTCTGAGTGGTTATACACTTCTCAATGTTATATTTAATATGTAGTTACTAATGCTGGTGTGTTCTGACTCTGAGTGCTGGCTCACGTTGTTGTGTGTAAAGGCAGGAACAAAATTGCCTCTTGTTTGACAAATGTCCTGGTCATTCCAAGTAGAGCCATCTTGTGGGAGAACTTGGCAGTATGCTGCAGATCGTTCAAGGTTAAACCTTTACCAATAGGTAAAGTGGTGGATATCAGTGTTACAGTAATGCTTGTAGTGTTTCCTTCTGTCTTGCACAAAGACCTCTAATTTCACCAGAGCATCTTTAATGGGGCAGGAAGAGCAATGCAGTTCTGTCTGTGTCATTTTAGAACTGCCCAGTGCCCCTAGATAAATTTGCACCTGTACTTAGAGATGAGAGAGAGAGAGAACTTCTATCTAACAAAAACAGAGGAAAACTAGTATAATGAAATGTGCATGAATACTATTAAATAATTAAAAACTGAAATTTGACCTTCCATGAAACCATCATAAAGTAGCAAATTCTCTGGACCCCAAATAGGAAGTAGATTTTTGCTTTATCTTTCAGGTTGTGTTCTTTTCTGATGTCTTTTCCCTTGTGATTTTTCTCTTATACTATGCTAGTGATTAAGTGAATCAAACGTGTAGTAGCTTTTGGCTTCCAGCTCTTCTTGTCCTATTTTTATAACAAAATTGCAAGTGACTTGTGGTTTCATAGCCTGACTCTCAGTCCAATGCTTAGTCTGTCTGGGTTCTATTTCTGGCTTTCCCTGGATTCACTGAGTGACTACGAATAGAACGACTTTTCAGTCTAAGGGATCTAGGTTTCTTACTCAAATATGAAATACCTGCATGTTTGATGTGATGCACAGCACTGCTGAAAAGCTCGTAAGAGGTTAAATCTTGGTGGCTCATAAGACATTAAGTCATACTGTAGGTACCATCATGTAAATGCTTTGATGTTAGGCTCTCCTAGCACCTTGGTTTACCCGTTATGGTATGAAACCGACTCCTTTCTCTAATTCCTTTTGAGCCCCCAAGACCAAAATTGCATGTGTATGTGCTATAACTCCATTGTCTGGTGCCGTTTTAGTCCTACAAATACATCTGGATTCTGTGCTGCTTGCGCTCTCCAAGTGACCACTGTAATCACTGGGCAGCTGGAGTAGGATGAGGCTCTCAGCGTTATCCTGAGGTGCTGGCAACTTGATCCACTGCGACTTTATTGAGAAGCATTACCATAGGAGACACCTGAGGTGTGCCTTAGTAAGGACTGTCACTGTGGAAATCAGATTTGCTTTATTGGGCACCTAGTCCACAAAATCCTTCCATTATATACCTCTGCAAATATACAAGTCTGTTTTGCTGGGAAAGAAGCCCTCACCTTATTTGTTTCACATAACTTTCCTGGGATGGAACATACATTTTACAAGACAAGGACAAGGTTTTCTGTGAAAGTGTGTGACGCGTACTTGGACTCTTTGACATAAGCTTTTTGTGTCTCTTGAAATTCGAAATTCTTCTCTGAATATGTGATATGTGAGGATAACAATACTCATGCCCACTCATGTTTTAAAAGTGGCTTTTAGTGAGAACCTCCTTTTCAGTTCCATGTGATCACTTGCATTTCCTGGGTACGTAGTGAAAGGATGTGAAATATATCCTGCTTGGTTATATTTTCCAGTTTGCTGCGCTTTACTGTCTCATTTTCAGCAGAAGCTGGGAGAAGGGCACAGCACTGCACAGCTAATCCTGTTTTTGCTACAAATCATTTTAATTAGTTTGATAGTCCAGCTGCCTGGTTTAACCGTCCGTCCTGCTAAATGCTTTACAGCTACAAGCTATTTTCTGAGGGTCTGTTCCTTGTGATGACAATGGCTTTAGAGCGGGTTTGAAAAATTAAAGCTAGTGGTGTTATGAGTCTGCTCATAGTTACCGAAGGTAAGGAATGGCTCCGCCTTGAATTAAACTTCTTAAATTGGCTCACGCAGATGTGCCCTCCCTCTCAGCTGGAGATTTTATTTATTAAGAAGCCCATGTGGGCTGTTCGTTTCAGTGTTGATTGTTTTTCGGACGTTCTGAATGTCGGAGCGCAGGACCCGTGGTGCTGTTCCTCTGCCTACCTGTCGGGTGGCTCTGTGTGAAACCAGACAGGAGAATCAGTAAAAATCAACCTCTCCAGAAAAGTTACCTGCTGCGTTTGATAGGATAACTGCAAATAGATGACAATTTTTATCGTGAACCACTATCAAATGATAGTGCCGTTCATTGCTGATATTATTGAGAAGCTTTAATGTTAGCACAAAAGAAGATTAGAGTTTTTTAGATTATAGTTTAACGGAAAATTGTAGTTTTTCATCTTCTAATGATTTCAACATTGAAAGCACCTTAAACAAAACCAAACTAAAAAAAATAAAATTTTAAATACTTATTTTTCAAAAATACTCTACTTCCACAGAGTAATCCTCTTATGTTGGAATTCATGTATCTGCCGGCCAGACTGTGCTCTTTGTTTGGGCGGGCAGCAGAGCCGGCAGGGCGGAAGGCACCTTCCTCCGAACGCCGTGAACGGAGGGGACCGCGGGAGCGGCAGCGCAGGCGCGCTCCAGCGCAGCCCCGCTCCCTTTGCAGCAGCGGCTATAAGCAGATGCTGGGGCAGGTGTAACTGCTGTTCCCATGAGCAGTTGCTGGCTGCTGGGAGTCTCCTGAGCCTCACGGTGCTTGTTTGTTTAGTAAACCATGGTGCATCTCTTTCAAGTACTTGTCCAGCCTCCACTTGAACCTGCCTAAAAGTTCTGCATCTGCTTATTTGATAAAGTGCCACCTCTTTTTGTTTGCCTTGAATCTGGCTCCTAGGAGTTTCATTTCACGCGGCCTAGTTCCCGGTACTGTGCAAGACAGTGAGCAGCCACCTGCTCCACACCGCTCATGATTTTTAAAGACCTCTCTTAGCTCACCTTTAAACGGAAAGGCTGAACTGCACATAATTTACTCTGAGATGTTATCTAAATTTGCATGCACTGTGAAGTTTTCATTTCCGTGTATTTAAAAATGACTGTAATTTTTTCATCATTTTTAATGGTGGAAACTGTTCCGATTTACCCAGCTAACCTAAGTGTTAATTTCCTTTTCTATTTAGTGATAGAAAAATCTTTACACTCAGGTAGTTGGGCAATAAATATCTGTGCAATATCTGCGCTTCCTCCCACCTCCCCCTCTGCAAGTAGCGAAAGAAGGCTAGAGTAAATGCTGATAGGGATTTGGTGCATTGGAGTTATTCTGGGGCTAACTCTGAAAGGCAGTGAAACAGGGTGATTTCTCTTTATTTCACTGCGGTACTCAGAAAGTTATGATTAGCCTCATATCACTTGGATGAATTGTGGAACCTGAGCAAAGCCCTGGCTTTGGAAGTGAGGTGAGACCTGCAGCTTGCTCTGCCTCGCTTTGGCTAGGGCCACGGGTCAGGTTTCTCTTTCAGAAGCAGTAGCTCTGACAAGCTACAGGGACAAAACCCATATTCAATTGGTCAAATAAAATGCATCACATTCATGAACTTTTTCAGAAAGACAAAGAGGACACACGTTATAACATAAATTTATTTCTGAATAAATGGCAACATTAAGAACTACTGTACAGAGGAACTGCATCACACTGTTACAACTCAGTCATGATATTTGTGCTTTGTAGGATAAGTAAACATTTAGTCTATCACAGCAAAAATTTGTATACTGACCGCTAACTAGATTCGGTTTAAAAATAAATACACTTTCCCATTTATTAACTCAAATAAAGCACTTTCAGTCTATAACGCTTCGTGCTTTTTATTAAGTTTCAGCCTCAGAAATGCCGAGCACTCAGAGTTACCACTCGTGTTAGTGGGAGTTATGGGTATTCAGCAGTTCTTAGGAATAGGCCCCGTGACTGCATGGTTACCTTTAGTGTATACAATAAGTTGACCTTTGTCTTGACAGTAAAGTGACCTTCGTTGTTTTGTATATGCTGCAGAGCAGATGTAGAATTAGCCGTGTTATTTCATCTTCTGTGTTAGATTTTTGATTCACTGATGGTTTGCATTTCTTAAAAAATGAGTTTGAGGAAATCGTGCAAGTTTAGGAGTGGGTTTAATGACAAAATTGAGAATATGGCTCTTTTTTCATAAATTATTTAAAACTACTTCAAAATCTTCAAAAATATTTAGTGCAAAAGGATAGTTTTTTTTCAAGAAATATTACAGAAGCATATACTGTTGTATGGAAAATAAAACATCTCTTAAATATTTATTGGGAAAGGCAGCCAGATTTTCTATTGCATGGGTGCGTAGAGACAAAAGATAAATACATTTTCAAAGAAACAAATCACAGAAGAGCTCTGATGTGATAAGTTATATTTATCGTTAAATTCAAAACCAATCTCTTTGGCAGAGTCAAAAGAATGCATCATTAAGTGCATGATACTAACATCATCTCAACAAGATACCATAGTTATATCTTATCAAATAGTTATATAAATGCTACGGTAACGTGAACTATCATATATAACCCAAACATTTATATTCAAAATGAACAATTATATGTGCTGCAAGATTTTAACAATCATTTTGTTTTCTTGTAAGTTATAAAAACTAACATTGCTAAGGTTCTTATTTATGCCAACACAATTCTCTTTTAGATATTTATTCATCTTCTCTTATTAACAATTTATTTGATTAAACTGAAATTAAAATAGTATTTATTTTTCCAGTGCTTTTAACCAACACATAGTGCTTAACATAGAAGCACTTTTATATAACAATTTACTATCGTTACTCCCTCTTACCAGATAGGGACACTGAGGCACAGAGGTGAACTGACTTGCCCGGGGTCACGTAGCAGGACCGTGGTGGAACGGGAATCAGAATCCAGCTCTCCCAATCCCCAGAGCTGTGCTCTGGGATCTACCACTTGCAGCTATCCTAAATTGCACTGCCTCCAAGAGAAAAGGAATCCACATTTCTGAAGGGTAATACTTGAGAGTCTTTTTCATTTAAATTTGGTTTCTTGAGAAAAAGAAAGGAATGGGGAACAGCTATGGAAGAGAATCACATGGAAAGAACTGAAACGTTTTTTCACGTTTTATATCACGTGTTATTGTGTTGTCTAACTGCAAGCATCTTAAGAGTTCAAAATTTTTACCCCTTAGAAGACTGCAGGGCTTAAAAATTATGTATTTTTGTATTACTGATCTAGGGACCTAAGTCTTCCTAGGCATCCTGGAAGACATTCATGTTCTAATAGTTAGGCTGTACAAAGACTGGTGTTTTAAAACTGAATTTTAGTGTACTATTAAATTTCAGCTGGTTGATTTAATCCAATTGATGAAATTGGACACATTAAATATTAAATTAAGCCTTTACTGTATAGTGCAATAATTCAAAAGGCTAAATTTCATCCCTTTCTCATACAGTACATTCTATAGCACAATGTCAAGAGTCCCTCATGATACAAAAGATACGATATACCTTGGTTTCACTTTGCTCAGTGTGTAGTTGTGGAACAGATGTGTGCTGTTTCTGTAGACTTTGTATATCTTTGCTTGTTTTATTCAGTGATGTTTGGAAATCAGAGCGTTACACAAACCACTGCTTATTTAAACTGGATTTAAACAAAAATGCTGAACAGGTCAATTTTCTTAACCCAATTCGAGAAGCCAATCAAACAGGCTTGGTGTCATCTCTCTGCCTTCCTCACTGAGCTTGCAGTACTGCACCACAGCATGAAAGATATCCCCCACTTTCCAGGACTTCCGTTGAACTAATTGCACAACATCTAAAAACTAAATAAAGAAAACAACACACTTAGGATTTGGTCAAGGTTTTGTTTAGTTTTTGTTAAATGAATACATGCAAACTGCTCTAAGACCATCCTTTGTAAGTGCACTACTGTATCACGCAGTGGATGCACATCACAACAGAGTAACCTAAGGATTTCTGTAGGCTATCCCAAGACTAGTCTAATCTCAAGACGTTTTCTAAATCATCTGCTCTCATAAATTATTTCTTATTTGTTGCAATGAAATTGAGAAAAGTGAAAGTGAGCCTGATAAACGATTGCAAATTTCCTTGTTATCTATACCTCACTGTCAAAATAACGGAAGTGTGACTATTCATTTTAAAGAGACGCATTCTTTCTTCATTACTTTTAGTTACGTTTTCATTATATTAAGTTCCTGTATTTCCACATACACATCCCACAGCATTTGAAATATTCTCACGATACTGGTGAGGGAGGATTCTAGGTGAACTTTCTACACGTGAAGATGTTTGCCACAATTTTGGCTAAATCACAGAGATGATCTGTATTTGCTTTTTCTTTTTTTTTTTTCTTTCTTTTTTTTTTTTTTAACCTCTGTATAAATCAGGGGTTAAATACATGTTCTTAAGCAGCTGGCAAAAATCCTGAATTTTGTCCACTTTGTACACAATAGTGGGCTTCAGTGTCATGCATCTGGTCCAATTTTTTTTCTGAAGCTTAGAAATGAAAATCAAAGCTTTTCATAAACTTGAATTTCACAATCAATATCTAATTAGCTTGCTCCTTCTACATTTCCAGTTTTAAACCATACAAGAAAATACTGTGTCTCTCTAGTTAGTGTAGCTGTTTGCTGTTTACATACTGAAGCCTAAACTTTTAATATGTATCTTAATGATATTTAATAGGCACACGATTTCCAAGAGCACTGTTGTAGGCAGGATGTGCTTCATTATTCTCTAGTGTATTTTTGCAATTGAATTAACTGTTTGCCAAAGCACATGGGTAAAGCTGACAGCTGTTTCTTTAATTAGATGCAATTTGGACTGTTGCTGCTGAATGCAGTTTAAATTATGTTTATGATTCCCAAATGCATGTACTCAAGAAAAATCAAACAATATGTCTGCTGCTCAAAATGATCTTCTCATAGACATTATAAGACCAAAATACTGATTTGTAATACTTTTTTCATTAATCTATTTGAATACCATAACACTTTTTGAAAGCTTTAAAGCAT